GCCAAAGCTCTTAAGGAGGCCCTGGGGAGTTTCAAGGCAAATCCTACCTCTGTCTTTTTAAAGGGGTCTGAGGAGAGGTGCCTGGGCCCCTAGGCATCAAGGGAAGGACTCATCGGGGAGGGGGAAAAGGGCGGCTCTGCCAGCCCCCTCACAGCCCTTAGCTGCCACTGTCTCTGCTGCTGTGGGGACTGACTGCTGGAGGTTTCGCTGCTCTCCGGTGCACCTGAGAATCAATCTCAGTCGCGCGCTCTCTCTCTCTCTCTCTCTCTCTCTCTCTCTCTCTCTCTCACACACACACACACACACACTCATACATAATTCTCGCATACTAACAGTATTTTTGATACACGTTCAATATAGTTTTTCTCTCTTATATACACAATCTCTCTCACACTATATCTCTCTTCTCTCTCACACATAGCCCTCTTCCTCAACCTCCCCAGTCATTCATACACACACACACACACACACACTCATACATAATTCTCGCATACTAACAGTATTTTTGATACACGTTCAATATAGTTTTTCTCTCTTATATACACAATCTCTCTCACACTATATCTCTTTTCTCTCTCACAGATAGCCCTCTTCCTCAACCTCCCCGGTCATTCATATATTTCCTTCTTTCTCTCTCTCTCTCTCCCTCTCCCTCTCCCCTTCTTTTCCCCCCGCCCCTTCTCCCTCTTCTCCTTACCCCACGCCTCCCCTGGTGCTTAACTGGAAACAAAAGTGAGTTTGTTGTGTCCGGCCAGGAAGAGGACGTGTGGGGGCAGTGGCCAGGGTGGAAGCCGCAGAAACAGGCTGGGGCCAGAGGCAGTGCCAACAGCCGGAGACCCCAGCACTCAGCTATTCCAGGGAGCAGGTAATGCCCCAGACAGGGCTGGTTCAGGGATCCTGCTCTCTTCCCTGTCTCATCTCTCTGTGACTATTTCATTTATTTGCCTTCTTATGTGGCCTTAAAGGGGAAGGAGATTCCAGACTTGGGGAATGGTGTACCCTCTTCTTTAGAGAACTGTGTATGGTCTAATGTGGCAGGGGTCCAGGGCATATGGGGTCAAGGTTGGCTAGGGTCTAGAGAATCTGGGGTCAAGAGTGTCTGGGGTCCAGGTGTCTGGGGTCAAGGATAGCCAGGGTCGAGGGTGGGTAGGGTTGAGGGTAGCTGGGGTTCAGGTGGCTGGGGTCCAGGGCATCTGGTTGAGGGACATGACAGATATTGATAAGGCAAGTTAGGGATAAATCACAAGGGATATTCCGAACCGTGTCACAGACCCTAGGCTTTAGGTAATCGAGAGCCACTTAAAGTTTTTCACCTAGAGAATAACATGATCAAATCTACATTTTAGAAAAGTAGTTCTTGAACTCTGACCAGGTGGAAATTTAGTGTGCCCTCTCAGAGTCCAGCAGTCAGTCTTCTTTCTCCCCATTTAAAGAAAAAAATAAGGTTATATGTTCGATTATTAGTTTTTCTTCTATAAAATTTCCTTAAACCTCTGACATCTGCTAGCAAGTATCAGCAATTAATAAGCCAAGAAAAAAGATGTTAAGTTTAAAGCAATAATAAAATTCTAAAACAAAATCCGTTTAAATAAATGAGGTCCATTGAGCTATCTACAGTAAATTAATAGTATTTTCTGCTAGTAAAACTATTTCTGACTCATATTTCTAACTCATGGTACGGCCAAAAGAGCACCACGACTCCAGGAATCTGCCACATGAACATGTATGAAATGTTAAAAAGCAAACTCTGCTGCTACATAGGGAATGGGGTTGGATGGGGCAACCAGAGACAATGGGAGCAGTAGGTGGTTATTGCGGCGATAGAAACAGGAGATAATGAGAACCTGAACCAAGACGGTGGCAGTGAATGGGGAAAAAAGGAGAGAGTTAAAAATATCTAGGAAGCAAATGAAATAAGTCAGTATCTGATTGGACATGGATGGTAAAAAAGAAGGAGGCTTCTGGAGTGAGTCCGACCTTTCTCATCTGGATGGCTTGGTAGGGGTGCTATTAACCAAAACAGAGGAGGGCAGTGTTGGGGTGTTGGAAGAATATAAGCTGTTTTAAATATGTTGAGATTGACTCAAGAAGACTGCAGAATTCCCAGATGGAGCAGTCCAGTTGGCAGTCGGAAATGCTCAATACAAACAGACAAGGATGACCTGGGACAAGCAAGATTTAAGTGAGACGGCAAGAGGGGCCAGCGAAGGATATCGAGGAGTCCTCAAAGAGATAGGAAAAAATATCAAGAAAGTGCTGTGTTATGAAAGCCAAGAATAGCATTTCAGTTCTGAGGGACAAGCCAGAAGATGGCTTCACAATGCTGTTGGTTTGATTGATTTTATTATCATATTGGTGTGAGAATAAAGATAACGAGAGATCTGAGGGTGGGGTTGTAAACTCAGGTGCATCACATAAATGAGATTAGCAGGGCATGTTGGGAGTGGCGGGGACTGTGGCAAACTGGAATGCGTGTGCCCAAGTACAGAAGGCAGCCATCACTCAGCTCTAATTGATTGCTGCCAAGCAGAAATGTCGGCACAGTCATCAGAGCAGCTAAGTTTCCAAGAAAAGTCAAAATTTTTTATTTTTATATGAGATCTCACAATTCTTTATGCTAGCAACAATTTCAAAAACTTTTATGCTCTATGAGGGCTGAATTAAACACATCTTCGAGATGTCTCTTTGAAATCTCTGCCTTAATCAATTTTCTGTGGTGGGGCTGAACCACTGCAGCAGTGATTGGGTAAGAGGAAGTGGAGACAAGTGCAGATCACTCCTTCAAGAAGTTGAGGGGAAAGGAGAGCAGGAGAGTTTGGAAGCAGGCAGGATCAGGGAAGGGTGTTTTAGGATAAGAAGAGCCATTTATAGGCTGGCAAAAGAGAGTGGAGAGAGAGAAGTTGAGGACCTCAGTAAGGAAAAGCTAGTTGATGAAATAAGGATCCAACAGAAGGGAATGGATGGTGCCAGAGATTAAGCTGGAGGCAGGACTCCTTGGTTCAAAGATGGAACGCAACAGTGGTAAGGAATGGAAGGACTGGAAAGGAGGAAGTGGATGGATTTCATACCTGTAGGCCTGTATTTTCTTAACAAAGTAGGGTAGGAGATGGTTCAAGAGGCCCAAAAAGAGGAGCAAAGGTTAGGAATGACACTGAGGGACATGGGAAAGGGTGCTGACAAGGATGAGTGGAAGGTGGCAGCACTTCTGAGACCTACTAGAGTGAAAACCCTCTATTTACATAGTTGGGCTTCATAAGTGGGGCTCAGTGAGCCTGGGGATGAAGTTGTTGGTGAAAGAGATCAGCACCTGTTACATTCCAGGCCCTGCATCCTGTGCCTTATTCTCCTCATCTGATTTATTCCTCCCAACAACTCTGTTCACTCAGACTTCACTGGTAAATAAGTGGCAACTCTGAGATTCATACCCATATCTAGCTAGATCGAAAGTACCCTGACTCCGCTATACCACTGTACCCCACTGCCTTTCCTTGTTCTCCCAGGACACACTGGCAGAGAGGAAGACTGGGCCAGTGAATTCTTGTTTGGGCATTGATTGGCTGGTTTTATTGAGAAGTCAAGAAGTAAGAGAGTGGAAGTCATGATGAAAGAGAGATTGAAATTATTGACCATTGAGAGTCCATGCAGAAATACATGAGGGCCAAAGGGGATGATACACTGAGGGAATGGAGGAGGTTTGGGGGAACGGAAGACTTGGTGAAGCCCAGGAGGCAGTCAGTGAGAGACTGAACCAGGGCAGGGACAATGGAATTGGCGAGGAGGGAATGTATTCTTGAAAATTTTCAATCTGGGTGGAGGTGAGAGAAAGATGAGGTGAGGATGACTTCTGGGTATCTAACCTGTGTAGTTATATGGCACTTATGCCTTTAACCAAAGCATTCAACATCATGTCATACCTCTTTCTCTTGCTCACCATGCTCTAGACACACTGACCAGCACATTCCCCCACCCCAGGGTCTTTGGAATACTGGAACTTCTTTTTCTAGGTATGCACAGGTGACTCCTTCCCATCTTCACATCACGATTCAAATGCACCCACCTCAGAGTGGCCTCTCTTGACCATGTTATCTAATGTGGCTCTCTGGTCATTCTTTATTATTTTATTTTATTCAGAATACTTATCACTGCCTGAAATAATTGTTTATGATTTGTTTACTTGTTTATTGTCTGTCTCTTCCACTAGAACAGATGTTTAAGAGAACAAAGACATATGGGCTTCACAGCTTTGTTTTCTACTATCTAGAACAATGCCTGGCACATTAAATATAGAGAAGAAAGAAGGAAGGAAGGAAGGAAGGAAGGAAGGAAGGAAGGAAGGAAGGAAGGAAGGAAGGAAGGAAGGAAGGAAGGGAACTGAAGAAGCATGTTTGGAGAGGGGTCTGTGTTCAATGTCTGCATGCTAACTTTTGAGGTTGCCTGAGACACACCCAGGAGGTGGTGACATCCAGTGGGCAGTTGAGAAAGCAGACTAGGAGCTCAAGAACAGGCTGTCATTGTGCCCACGGAGAAGGTGGGCCCACATCACACACTGGTACGAGTGTGTCCGTCCTCCCACATGGCTATCTGCCCCTTGAAGGCCAACGTTGAGAGTTGACTGGTTTGGGGCCCAGTGGGTAAAGAATCCTTCTGGGTTTGTTATACAGAAGTTGGGTCAGAGTTTTTCTCACTTCACTTTTCTATTCTGTTCCCATCCTTGCTGCTGCCCTGGGGTTGGCCATTTTCCATCTTTCTTCATTGTCAGCTGCAAGTCTCTGCAGTTTGAATGCAGACTAAATCCTTTCATCTCTGCTATCTCAAAGAATATCTCACCCACATCCAACCCACAGAGGCTTGAATCCAGCTTTGCCCAGAAGCTGGACTTAGTTTTACTGAATTAGGAAATACTTTTTCCTTGCATTTGGTTGCTGCTCCATTTCAATCAGCCTTGCAGCCTTATACCTCCCACAAGACACTCAGCGGACCATACTATCTTCCTTTTGCAGGGTCCCCAGCTGCTGAGCAGCTCCAGGACATCCTGGGGGAGGAAGATGAGGCTCCCAATCCCACTCTCTTCACAGAGATGGACACTCTACAGCACGACGGAGACCAGATGGAGTGGAAGGAGTCGGCCAGGTGAGACAGAGCCCCAGGTGGGAGGTAGAAGGGGGCTTCCCACTGCCATCTGCTCAGGGCCAGGCTGAGCTCGTGGGAGGATTATCAACCAGTGGCATCTCATACTCTGAGTTCTGCTAGGGTACTTCCTGGCCCCTAAAGACCTTTCTCATCAGCATTCCTTGGTATCCGAACTGGGTTGGACACTAAGGAGAAAATAGAAACTTATGACTTTGTCCTTATCCTCGAAGAAATTGAAATCCACGGGGGAAGATAGAACAGACACCCATGAGACCATGAGAGAATAGTACAAGGCCATATATTCTTTGAATGGTTCAAACTAAATGCTGTAGGAGAAGGGGAAGCACCAAGCTGGCTGGGGCAGACAGAGAAGAAGAGGCTGTGTGGCAGGAAGAATCCAGATGGAGTGGTCCAGTGGGCTGCTGAAGAAAAGGGCTTCGGTGGAGTTTGGGGCAGGGCAAGCACAGAGGAGCTTTGAAGGCAGGCGTGGGAACCGGAGAACGGTGTCCGTGGGGCAGTAGAAGGAATTGGAGAGCCAGACACCTGGAGGGGAACCACAGAGTGAAGTCAAGAGAGCCCAGAGGGGACCAGGGTAGTAGTGCCGGCCTTACCGTAGTGCTTGGGACAGAGCGACCTCTGAACTGAACTGCACTGGTCAGCAGTGCTGAATGCTGCCAAGAGTCCAAGGAGGAGGAGAATTTGGTAGGAGGCGGCAGGAGGGCTGGTGAGAGGAGAAGGATCCCGGGAGGGAAGTTCAGAGACTGGGAGACAAGCCATACCAACGTTTCTCAACCTTGTTTTCCTATTAACATCTCCCACTCTGAGAAAAATGTAATTTATGTTAACTTTACTAAATTAGAATCTATTTCTAATGAGAGAAATTAAATACTACTAAGAAATAAGATTTTGTCAGGTAGGGTTGAGCTTGGAGTGCCACAAACCGTTGTAATATCTAAAACTTATTTAATCCCCCAAGAACCAACTGTTGCCCAGTCGGGACTGATATTACCCCAGCTGAGAATGCATGGACTAGCTGTGCCCAGGACTCTGCCTGGGGGCCACACAACACCCAGAGGCTGATGGCTGCCCCCAACCATAGCCTGGGTCCTTCCCTTCCCCACCAGCCTCAGAACCAGACCTTACATGAGGGCCTGTCACACGTACCCACAAGGCCCTTGCTAAGAAAGCCTCAGGGCCCTCAAAGACCTGAGGGTCCATAGATAAAATACCCACTTTCTAGCTTTTCTGACAGTGGGTCCATTAAGTCTTCCGCACTACAGACCCCACAGTGAAACTGATAAACTGCAGATGATAAGGTTTCCAGAAGGAGACGTCTCCTGAAATATAAAGGGGCCTGACAGTTACTATCTGAGAGCTGGTGGGTTTTCCCACAAGGTAGCCTTTCTGAGGATAGCATCTGAGGAGACCCTGGAAGGGCTTCAGCATAACCTGAGTGGACCTCGAACCAATAGTGAGAGAAAAGTGGTGGCTAGAAGAGGTTAAAATGGTTGAGCCCAATTCCAGGCAGATCTGAGAGAGGAGACGCTTGATGGACAGCCCAGGGATAGGAAGCAATGGGAGGAGAGGAGCTCAGGGCCTCCCTACCTGGGTCTCTTTTCTCTACCCCAGCCTCCTTTAGTCTCTCCAGCTAACCCCATCTGGTTGCCAGCCAACCGTTGGAGGTATGACCAGCAAGCCTCTAGAGAGGCCAGAGGAAGTGTCTGACCATTGGCCAGTAAGCCTACCTCGGCCCGGGCAGCTGTACTGGGAGCCCCTTCAGGCAGACTGGGATGGTAAAGCTGCTTAGGGCCTGTCAGTCCCACAAAAGAATTAGAAGCAGTTTTCTCAGCCGACAGGCTATGGGATCTCCTCAGGGAAGTCAGAGGTCTCAGAAGTTTCCAGAATCCAAGAACGAGCAAATCCTAGTGGGTTCTGGGCCTCCCTGGAGTAACAGGAGAAAATGATGGGGAGGAGGCTCAACCTCTCACATGGACACTCAGGCCCTGGGAGGGTTGCAGGTCTATACTCACATCAAAGAAAATGGGGGAGGATACCCTTTAATAAAAGTATTTAATTTGCTGCAGGAGTGTTTACTTTATTGAGTCAGGAGATTAACAGAGTGAAAATCTCAAATCCGCAAGGAATTTTCCCTGGCAGTGCTTTGTCGCCGGTTATTAGTTTGGGGGATATTTCAGGCCCTCAGAGAAGGAGTCACCACTGGACTGGGACAGATTTAAATGGCTGTTTGAGCTCCTCTGAGCCTTGCCCCTCTGTGCATAATGGGGACTGTGTGTGCAGGCGTCATTTCTAACGTGATCAATGCTGGTAGGTCAGGCTGTTAATGAGATAGATTTTTATTAACTCTGTCTCTTTAGCTTTCCCGGGAGGGAAATGCAGCTGGCTGCTGATACTGACCTTGCCGAAAGGGAGAGTTGGGTCAGGTGGGGTGGGGGAGGCAAACGATTCGCCCAGAATTCCTTCCCTTCTCAAGCCCAAGTCTGCCTGGGTGCAAGGACAGGAAGGGAAGGAGAATGACCTTAGCTGGAACCTGCCCAAATGTGGAGGGCCCTTTGGGGTTACTCAAAAGCATCCAGAGTTAAGAGCCTTCCAAGTTAAGAGCTCTGCAAGCGAGTTTCAAATCCAAGCTGCCTCTGATCTCAACTCAGAAGACCAAAAGCATGAACTTGCCAGAAGGTTTTTATGAGAGACATGCCCTGAGAACATTCCTGCAATGACTGGGAAAGGACAGAAAGAGGGGCAGAAGAAATGGGTCAGCTTAATTGGGTCAAACCAGATCAGGACATTTTCAAAAGCCCTAAAGGGCTCTCGGCACACATGCTTTTTCACTCTACATATGATGGAGGGGAAGCCCGAACTTTGTCTCAGTCTGAAACTGCTCCCGCATAAGCTCTTGTAGGTTGCCCTCCTAGCATCAATTCTGCTTCTACTCTGGGGCAGAACGCATCCCCAGCCCTCCGTCTCACCACTCAACCGGGGCCAGAGCTGACCGCTCTCTGTGTAAAGCAGAGTAGGAAGCTGAGAGCTCTTACCAAAGAAGTTAACAAACCTCATTCATTCATTCAACTAATATTTACTAAGAGTTTACTATCTGTAAGCTCTGAGCCAGGTGTTGGAGGTACAAAAATAAACGCAGCAGATGCTACCCCTGCTCTTAGTCTAATGAGGCACAGAAGTGAATAATTGGGTATTTGGTGATGGGGGTGCTCTGAAATCATAGCCCAGTGGCACAAGACCAGACAAGAGGGGTCAAGGAAGATGTCTAGGAGGAAGAGGTGTTCATCCTGAGACCCGAAAGATGGAGAGGGTGCAGAAGGGGAAAGAAACCCTGGAATAGCTAAAACAGACACACGGTGGAAGGGGCAGAAGTTTCCTGTGGCTGGACTGTAGAGTGAGGGGCTGGGAGTGGCAGGTCCTGTGCAGGCCATGTTGTGGAGTTCAAACCCGATGCTGAGAGTTTCAGAGGACCAGTGACGGATTTGGGGGAGGGGAGGGACAGGACCGTCTGCTAGAGAAAGATCACTCTGGCTTCAATGTGGAGAATGTATGAAAGGAGGCAAGACTGGGCCAGGTAGGAGAATGGTCCGGGTGAAAGATGATGAGCCTCTGGCCTCAGATGTTGGCGGTGGGAACAGACAGAAGAGGTTGATTGAGACATATTCTTTTGAGCATGTAATTTAATATATTATTTTCTTTTAAAATATATTTTTTGAGCAGTTTTAGATGCACAGAAAATTGAGCAGAGGGTACAGAATTTGCATATGCCCCCGGAGCCCTAAACACGCACAGCCACCCCCATTATCAACATTCTCCATGAGAGTGGCACATTCGTTACTATTAATGTGGAGAATGTATGAAAGGAGGCAAGACTGGGCAAGAGTGGCACATTCGTTACTATCGTTGAATGTGTATTGACACATCATTATCATCCAAAGTCTACAGTTTACATTAGGGTAACTCTTGGTGTTATACCTTGGGTTTGGACAAATATAATGACATGTATCCACCATTCTAGTATCATACAGAGTAGTTTTACTGCCCTTAAAATCCTCTGTGTTCTGCCTATTCATTCCTCTCTACCCCCTAATTCCTGACAACCACTGATCTTTTTATGAATCTGAGTCATGTCTTAATGGGTAAAACCAACACGACTTCATGACAGATGGCATGTGAGGAAGACATACAGTCAAGGAGATGCCCAGGTTTCTGACTTGAGCAAGTGGTTAACTCATGGTAGCAACTTAGGAAGCACAAGAGGAGCAGTAAGGTTTTGTTGTGATGGGAATTGTGCTTTGTTTTGTTTTGGGGGAGGCTGATGATGAGTTCCATTTCCGACATGTTATGCTCGAGGGCCCTCCAAGTAGAGCTGTCCAACAGGTCACCATGGAGACACAGAGGCTGGGAGCTCAGCATCTAGATGGAAATTAAACTCATAGAAAAGGATACGGTTGCCCCCTCGAGATCTGCAAAGGGAGGAGAGCACCCAGGACAGAGCCAGAGACTCTAGAAACATTGACATTTAATGAGTGGGCAGAGGAAGCGGAACCTACAGTGGAGATGGAGCAGGAGCAGTGGGACAGAGAAGGGAACGAGAAGAATGCTGCGTCCTGGAAACCAGGGCAGGGAGACATTAAGATAATGGGAGGGCCCACGGGTGGGGAAAGAACCTAAAAGTATCCACAGCATGGAGAGACCCAAGCAGTCTCAAGGGAGGGGTGGGGCCAGAGGATGGAGAACAGAATTAGAAGGATGAAGGTAGGTTCAGTTCTTCCAAGATGCTTGCCTGTGGAGGGCAGGAGTTAGAGAAGGCTCTCAAGGGGAATACAGAGTCAAGGTAGACTTTTGGTTTCCGTTTTCAAGGATGAGAAAGATCTGAGTATATTGAAGCCTGATGGAAAGGGGCCAGATGGAAGAGAATGGTTTAAAGGTGCAAGAAACAGAGAGGGGTTCTGGATAGAGGGCACGGGATCCTGGGCACAGGT